ATCTATCTATCTATCTATCTATCTATCTATCTATCTATCTATCTATCTATCTATCTGATTGTGTCCTTGCCTACCCTAGTCAGATCAATTCAATTTAAGCAGCATTTATTAAGGTCTTGTGTAAGGCATCTTTCTTGGGATGTTACTGGACCTATAAGGTAAAAAAAAGAGTACATCTATGTGCATATGTACATAAATATATATACACATATATATACATATAATATATATGCTACTGTGAGAAGAAAAGAAGAAGGAGGAGGAGGATGAAGAGGAGGAGGAGGAGGAAGAGGAGGGGGAGGAAGATTATTTTGCAAAGCCAATTTATACATTGAAAAAGGCTGATGTTACATGCAAGGTTCCAAACCTTTTGACCCCCACCTCTGCATTTAAGTACAGGAAGGTGCCTTTCTCAGTCCCCTTCCTTTTCCCACAGTGGGGATCCTTCCATTTTAATGGTGAAAAATTAATTGCAATTCATGGCATGCATTAGGCTTAGGGTCCCCTAAACCTAATGCATGCCATGAATTGAAATTAATTTGTAATCTGGGGGTTAGACATGATAACATTTAATTTTACATAATTTTTCAGAATCCTAGAATCACATAATTCCATTCTAAGTGACAGTATGTAAATATTTTTCAATCCTTCAGTGTTTAGGTGCAGCCTTCCCATTCCTCCTTTGCAGGAATAGTCACAAGTTTTCCTGTTATATACATTAATTCTTCCTCCTTGTGCTTTTATTTTGCATTTGAGTTTCTCTTAAATATGACTTTAAAAAACGTACATATTTTATAGTATTCTGTATGTTGTCAAGTAGAACAAATACTGTAGGGTTGGTTTCTATGGTGATTCTTTAAAAAAAAATCTAGAGTTTACATGCACTTAAAATGCATGTCACCTACACACCTTCCCTTTTGTCTACATTTCAGTTTAATTTTCCTAATGCTGATTTTCTAAGGTTTAAAACTAGGCTCCCCTAAAATCCCAGTATTTGGAGTTGGATAAAAAGTTCATTTACATTTCAGAAAACCTCAGAATGGTTAAACAAAGGATGAAAGAACAAGGGGGTAACAAAAAAAATTTCTAATGTAAATTTCTTTGATACTTTTTTTGTTATCTTCAACTCAGATCAGAACTCTTAACAATTGAGTCTCCTGTGTACCTGCTCAGAATACCTACCAACCTACTCCAGTTCACAAATATGAGTTCGGCTAGCATGTGGTGTTTGGCGTTCTAACCATGAAAAAAAAAATGGCTAAATAAGAGGTAAAGAAGGGACTGAGATGCTCCATAACTAAGTATCATGTAAATAACTGAGCAATGCACTAGCTCTTTACAAATGATTTCATCAATAAGGGATGGAGAGACTATGGCATAGTAAATAGAACACTCTACAGGAATTCAGGGAGACTTAGATTCAAATCTTGCTTTCCATGTTAGCTATATGACATTGGGCAAATCACTTAACCTTTGAGAGTCTCTTTTTTTATCTCTAGAATGAGATTCAATGACCTTTAAGCAAGAGAGTGCTGGAGCCAGCTTTAACCAGCTCCTGAGCCTCATGAATGTTTGTATCTCAGAAATTGGCAAATGTTACAAGTCGGGGCTTGATTTATTGCCTTGTTCATTGTCCAGACTTAGGAAACTGATGCAGAAAATCTGAATAATGAAGATTAAACTTCAAAGTGTATCTTGTGTTCATTTCTGCCCTACTCATCCCTCCTCTCCCAAAGCTGGTAGTTGAAAACTTACCAGCACAGCCTTACATCTAAGGTTCCATTAAATTCTGAAATCTTTGATCTATTTTCCTCAACTTGTGAGAAAGGTCAAGGGAAGACACATTCCATCTGGCTGGAAGATGGGAATCATGGTAGACTAGCTCTGCCCTCGTCAGTTTTGCATATGCTTCCTCCTTCATATGCCTGATGTTAGAAGGAATCACTTTCAGTTATACCCCTGTGAGACTGTCGATCAAACAGTACAGGTGGCTTGGACATGGTGACTATTGTTATTTATACAACTTCATGGGAAAGTGGCTATAACGCTGGATGTGAAGGCAGCAAGATCTGGGCTCAGATACTGCCATGAACACTCAGAAGCTATGTGACAGTGGGTGAGACGTTTCACTTCTCTGAAACGGTTTTTTCATCTACAAGTTGGGTCTAATAATACTGTTATTACCTGCCTGACAGTGTTCATTGTGAGGCTCAAATGAGATGATGTGTAATTTGCAAACTTTAAGATACAATGCTAGGTATTATTATGATATTAGGGTTTTAGATGTCATGGGTTTTGTCCTCCATGGATTTTTAAACATAAAACCAATTTTCCCTAGAAGGCCTTCAGAGTTAGGTAACTTCAGATCCTGAGTTTCTGTTTTAGTTGCCTCGGGGAAATAATTTTCACTTAAATTCAATGAATCTTTTTTTTCTAGGCACTTATGTAATATAATGAATAGGTACTGTTTTCAAATATGTAACTTCATTTAAGATTACACTAATGTTCTACTCTCTTTCAGAGGCTACTTTGTTGTTATCCTTTGGATAAATACATTTGCACTAACTCAAAGTGAAATTCAGCATGCTAAATTGTATACAGAGGCTCTAGAACAATTTTATAGATAGTTCAAAAGCTCCACCATTCAACTTCCAAGTCTTCAAGCTTCAAGGAAAAACTGTTCCCCCGGAGATATAGGTGCCTGATAAAATGAGATCCAGTTGCATAAGTCAATTCAATAATAGTGCTTGTTTTGTATTTTTATTGTAGCATTGCCTGGTGAATAGAAAGATAGTTTGTGGTCAGAATGACCAAGGTTCCACCCAAGTCTTGCCTCTGACGCGTACTAGCTACGTGGCAATGGACAGGTGTCTTAACCTCTTAGTGTCTCTAAGTCTCTCTAATTATAAATTACAGAGGAATTGCCAATCTATACAAACAGAGGGGGTTTCCTACCCCAAATAAAATGACAAGTTTAGAAAATTTTAAAAAAATTTACCACAAAGTATTAGGTCAAGCTTAATTTTTGGCATGTCCTTGACCTATAAACTAGTTACAATTTACATTGTTGCCTTAGTGGCTTATACATTTCTAGTATTTAAAAAAAAATTAAGGGGATAGTTAGGGAGGTAAGTTGAAGAGCTGGTATTCATTCATGCCTTCATTTAAGTATCTCTGAAGAGTTCATTTTGAAGCTGTAAACATCCTCCATGGTTGACATGGAGGTCTGTTCATCTCTCAGTATAAAATTGTACAGATTCTAAGTCACAAGTGCTTGTTAGAGGGCTCTCTCTTCCTTTTCTGGCCTCCTCTCTCCCCTCAATTCCACCTAAATCCCCCACGACAACTACACAGGGAGGTGGATATGTGTTTGCTGCTTTTGATTCTTGTGATGTTGCCCTTAAAGTGAACTTCAATCTCTCATTCACTTTGATCATTAACAAATAAAATTCCATAAATAACTTAATAGACAATTTTTCCCCTATAGAAATCCTGTTAGGGTCTGCCTTTAAAAAATGAGCCATGTTCACAGTAAATGAGTCAGTTAGCTTCTAAGTGTCTGCTGGCAAAAAGAAGAGTCACCACATAGGTTAGAATGGCTTAGGTGAGGTCTATACGATCACAGAAATAAAGGAATATTTGAGTAGATCTGATCCATTATGTCTGAGAAAATGGCTTTATGAGCAAAATATACCAGAATTTCTGGTTTTCTTGTCACTTACTGACTGAACAAATGAACAAATGGATGAATGAAAAGCATTTATTAAGCACTTACTACATGCCATGTACACTATAAGTGCTTATTTATTAAACCATTACTGCCGGGTATAATCTAAATGTATATTTATTAAGGATTTACTATATGCCAGATATTACATTAAGCAAATATACACAAGCAAGACAATGCCTGACCTCAAGGAGCTTGCATCCTCATGCGGATAGACAACACATAAAGAAGAACTAGAAAACATGGCATTATGGTTTGGAAATGCCCAGAAAATGACATGGAAGCTTTGTTCCGGGCAAGATATGTTGAAAGCTCACTTATTAGAATCTGAGATGGTTCTGGGAACAGAATCCAAGGTTTCAGTGGAAGAGGGATGAGGAGAATGGGAACTCTGATCATAGTGCAGATATCCTAGTTTGAAAATGGCCCAGGAGTGAGGTAATGCTATATATAGCTGGGATATAGTTAACCCAGTTTTTTCGAGCAGGGACTATCATTTGCTTTTCTTTGTATCTCTAGTACACAGCACGGTGTCTGCACATAGTAGGTGCTTCATAAATATTTACTGACAGGCCAACATGCTATCTACACATGTAGAGCAAAATTAAGTTGACTGAATGGAAAACAATTATAATCGAGAGCCAGCGTGGGTTTTGTAAAGTCCAGGTTATTCAAAAACTTTCCAAATTCTTTGGGCAATGATCATATTATGAAAAACAATGTAGGTGGCTATGTTTTGGGGAAATTTTAATGACAGGTTAAAAAACCTAAAATGTTTATGTATTATACAGTAAAATAGAAACATGACTGATAAATACAGAAACTCATTAAGGGCAGGTTAGTGTTCATGGTGAAGAAAATTTAATGAATCAAGAACCCACTTACATTTTAAATATGAATAACAATCATTCCTAGTTTAAGAAAGAGCCTATATCTTTATAGCACATGAACATGTTGGCTGATTCTAAGTCCCTACTTTGAAATAGAAAGTATGCAAATTCAAATGTACTTGTGAAATTTTGACAAATGTCCATTTATTTGTAGCTACCAATGATCTTAACAAAATAAGAAAATTTTAAGCCAAGAAAATATTTTTTATTTGGACCATAGAAATATAATGCCCTAATTAGGAAACATTCTAAATCATTCTTTCCTCTTGAATAGACCTGAAATTTCAGTTTTAGGTAGAATTTGGATTTTAGCTATAAGTATGCATATACATATATATGTAAATATTATATGTACAAATGTATGTTAGCACACAAACATATACACATACACACGTGTTTGCATATATTATACCTAAAGTCCAGAATTTGCTACTATTAGGATACATTTTCCATTAAATGATATCCATGATCCAATTCAAAATAATATGGTGAACATAATTATCAATTAAATTATGTCTATAATTTATATATCCATAAATTATATATCCATAATTATCAATTAAATCATGTTAATATTTATCTAATCACTGATAAATTGATTGAATATAAATTTCTGACTTCCTTAAACATGTATTAGATCACAGGACCATAGACATAGATCTGTAAGGGGACTTGGGAGGCCATCTGGTCCAACCCCCTTATTTTTTCAGATGAGGAAACTGAAGCCCAAGAGGTCAAGTGACTGAGTCAAAGTGAAGAAGGTAGAGGACAGAGGCTAGATGTGAACCTGTACCCTGTGACTCCCAATCCTCTTCTCTTTGTACCACATCAGCTTTCAATAGTAAATAATGAAATATAATTAAATAATTAAAAATTAAATAATGCTGATCTTGAGGACTGCTAGCTAATGCTATTATTAATCATGGTTTGGAACGCAGTTCTAAGCCATTAAAAAGTCTGGGACTTTTATTAAAACAAATATGGTGCATCCTATTCCTCTTTCACCAAAAGAAATTGCAAATTTCCCAGTCACATTCACAGAAACAAGGGAAACAAAATGGAAAGACTGAATCTTAGTGTAGGGGGAAAAACCAGTAGGTTATCTAAGATTTTTTGTTTATTAAGAAGATACTAGTTGGTAATATACACTAATATTTGGGAATTAAACATATGACAAATGCTAAAACTATTTGTAGCAGTGGAATTATAGAAAAGAGTAGTTCTAATTCTCTGGTTACTCATAATATTGACATTTGCAAGCATGTGTTTCAATGAGTAGATCAATATTCTACTTCCAGAAGTCTACTCTCATAGTCCTGGGTCTCTATGTTGTCGTTCAGGCAAGGTTCAAGTATTAGGGCTAAGATTTGTGGCATAAAGCAGTTTATTATAGTTGTGTATACAGAGACCAAGATAGTGATGAATGATCCTTATGCCAGTATCAGTTGATATGATCTTTAGTATAGCCTTTTTTATATACAGCCAAAATGTGCTCTGCAGTTTCTAGTAGGATTTAGCCATGGACAGATGTACAACTGAAATAAAGATCCCTGCATTATTCCTAAAAGAGCAATGACTTTCTAACAGCTTCAAGCTGAGTTTTCTGCCATAACTTGGAATTTTAAGTCATGAACTTCAAGTCAAGACTGCATAGGGGCACATTACTTGACCTTAAATTTCCCTCATTGTATGGAAAAGGAGTTTTTGTAAAGCTATATTTTGAAAAAACAAAACAATGTATAGTTCTGTTTTGTTTTGTTTATTTCAGTTGTACATCTGTCCATGGCTAAATCCTACTAGAAACTCCAAGCACATTTTGAATTAGAAAACTTAGGAACAATGAGTAGATTTTATGGCATGCCTATGTGAATCAGTGAAATTGAGCAATGCTTTTCCCCACTATGCCTTTTAGAAATTACTTACTTATGCCAGCATAGACAGAAGCCCAGGCTTGAAGTAATGAGTTCAAGTCCTGCCTCGAATACTTACCAGCTGTATGACAATGGTCAAATCCCTGTAAGTATCCCCATGCCATTCTCTAAGACCATAAATTAGTAAGGAGTTGTCCATTTGCATCTGTGGTGGAAGTTTCCACACTGGAATTTCCCGGTACTTACAAAGTCAAAGGTCTACACTTCCCTCCAAAATACCTAATGAAATTTTATGTTTTGTATCAAACAGTAATAGGCCATCACATTCAAAGCCATTTTGTTTACCTTTACTATTTTGATGAGAGTCTTCAGTTGGTAGATGTGAAGCTGAAGGTCTAATCTATCCGCCAACCACACGGAAATGACTTTCATGGAGCTGCTGTACCATTGCTGAAAAAAGGATGGGGGGCAGGGAACAGGGAAGGAGGGAAAGAAAACACACACACACATACACACACACCAAAACAAACAAACAAAAAAAAAAACAACAAAAAAAAACACCTCTGCAGTATTCATTTAACAGATTTGGTAATGAGGGGTAATGAAATGCTCTGAAATGACCACAGATCAGCACTTGAAGTCAATAATGCTATAATTTCCTGTTAAGAGAATTGCATGTTTTGCTAGGAAATCTGCTAACTTGACCTAGACTGTGCTTTACATGAATTAGCACTAGTCTTTCAGCTGCAGAATATTCACAGGGAAACAGAGCTTTGCACTTTGCAGCCTAGTAGCCTGCTTTGTAAGCTGTAAGTAACAATGGGCACTAAATACATGTTTATAGCAATGAATAGCCTGCTGAGACAGCAGGGGGAAAACCAGCTAAATTATTTTCAAAGAGAAATTTTGCATCACTTCAGAGTTTTCATGCAATATTGTAGAGTCCTAGAAAAAAAATCAAATGGTAGATGTCACTATGGCACAGAGTCAATATCTTCTGATGTTTATCTTTTATTTTATTTTGGAGTTACGGCAAAAAAGCACCCCTAACAAAAACATCTTTCTACTCACAATTGAAATCTTCACCAAGACCTAGATCTATTACTGTGGTTAGATTCTTTTCAAATCCTTCAGATCCAACTAACAATGAATAAACCTTCCCTGGGATCTGAAGAACTTTGTCATGGCAGTATTCTTTTTGAAATAAATGACTCAATAGATGTCTGCTGCTCATACAGCAAGAGGAAAGGTTTTGCTTCATTTTGGAAACGATTTAGTTTTGGGAGAGTTCATGTTCTTGCCCTGTTTATTGCTGGTCTCTCCACAGGAGAGGGACTGAAATCCTCCCCTAATGTAATTTCCTGCTTCTTTATAATGTCCACATTTGTGTAAATAAGAGAAATTCTGGGTCTGTATATGCCAAAAAGACAGTCCAGAAGTCACAATTCGTATGTTAAGTGAGTTCAGTTTATAGCTACTGTAGGTAGATTTAGGCAACTCAAAGAATAATTCGGTTTGTGAAGAGAATATGCTACAAAGAGAAACCAAATTCTAAACAGCATTTGGCAAAGGACAGAGCAGCTTATATGAGTATTTAAGGGATCTTATATGTATGTGCTATATCTGTGTGTACTTTTTAACTTGTTGGTACGTATGTGTATAATGTAAATATGAATACCAAAATATAAAGAGAACAATTTTTAAAAAATCTTTTTTATAGCTAATGACATTTTTTGGGGGAGGGAAGATATTTAGGAAAATCAACTCCTGGAGTCCTTTCAACTTAGCGTCTTAACTCGTGTTTATTAAAAAGTTGTTCTTACATATTTTTATCTAACTAGAACAAAAGGTATTTTAATTATAAGTTTCTGAAAACAAATTGGCTTCACATGTCACTATACTTCTTCTAAATTAGTGTACAGAACATACACAAAATATCAAGTAAACTAATTAAAATATGGAATAACTGATTTCCAAAACACTATAATGTCAAGTTGATGATGAATGAAATTCTGTGCTATTTAAAACACATGATTTGTTTTTTTGACTATTATTCACAATTTATTTTTGCTTTTTTCACATGGTTATATTCTTATTTCTATGGGATTTAAAAACATTAGGAACTACAGGTTTTAAGAAACTAAATGCTCAAATTGTTAATAACATTCAATATATTTAATTAAATTTTCAACTGAATTCATTTGATTATTTCTGCTGATATTGTATACCTTAGTGTCCCTCAGTTATTCATTTTAGTTTGTCATACTTATTTTTTACCTTTGCTAGTTCTCATTATTCCAAACATCAACATCATGACTTCTCCTTCAAAATAAAAAGACAGATCAATTTTATTAATGATCAAATATGCTATATGAGGAAAAGTCCTAAGGATCATACATAGGCCACGATCTGGTCCGATAGGAAAAAAAAAGGATTTAAAATTACATTCCTTCTTTGGGTAAAAATGGCTTACTCCTATGAAAAGTGGAAACAGAGTACAAATTCTGGTATAAAGTATTAGTTAAGATCTCCTGCTACATCTGCCCATTTCTTACATATTACTACTAACCACACTTTTGAAGACCTATCTGAGAAAATCAAATAATGCTTCAACATAAATCCATAAATATCCACTCCTTAAAAAAAAAAGCCTCACCCAGTTTAAACTTAATTTAACTTTATTCCTCTGCTGCACAAATGTGATAATTACTATGAAGAGAATCAAAAGTACATTTCATTTAATATAAAACAGAAATTAGTAATAACTATTAGATCCTATGACTAAAATATAAAAGTCTATAGTGAAAAGCATTTTTGAGGGGGAAAAATTGTCAATAGATCCTCTAACACTATCAGAAATAATACATCAGAACGGTCACTGGGTAAAAATACTGAGGTAATTACTATCAGCATCATCACACATCACAGAGAGTGGCTATCAGCAATGAGACACAGCCACGGCAACAGGAGAAAGGGAAAATTCACGTACTGAAACGTAAAGGTCATAGAATCTTGAAGAACTTTAGTGAAGGTAAGAAAGGAGTCCTCGGTTCTGCTCTGGAAAAACTGCAGATGGGCACAGAATCCCCTACAGCCATTATGGATACAGACATGGAAAATTCATTCTCATGATTGTGATTGTTTCTTGCAAACAAAACAAAAACAAAAGAAAAGGCAGAGGCAAGGGGTTTTCTACTTCTGGCATTGCAATTGGTGCTGAAAATCCCAGGTCATAAGCCCTCTTTGGGTCCTGCAGTACAGTAGGTCCCACTTTTGATCATTAGGACAAGAAAAACAGAATCAAGTAGAATGCCCTCACCCCCCAAAATGCCTTGCAGTAGGGCCAATTCGCAAAAACGTTCAAACATCCAGAAAACATCCTTTCATTCTGAAGAAGTTATTATAATAAAACATTTGCTGGCTGACTATTCACTTTTTCCTTCAGGGGACGGCAATGAAGGGGCATAGCAGTTCTCACTGAAGTCAATGGCATGACATTATTGCTTTATTCTTTGCTGTGGTCCACACAGGAATAAAGCAGTAAGTGTATATTATATATTTTTTCCACATCAATAACACGGCAGCAGCCAACCACTTTGACAGGAAAAAAAAATATGTATTTTTTTATTCATCTTCATCCAGCTCCTGTAAGGGCATGCATTACTCACTTCATTTTCCTGAGATATCTCTTTTAAAGCAAAAATAAAAGAAAAGGAAAGGCTAGGGTTGACTCTGTGAGACCCCTGTATTTATTCACACTTATTGTGCATGACTGTAGACTGGTAAATCATATTAGCAGCCCGTCTCCCCATCAAGCCGCTACTTGCTTTCCAGCCCTGGGAAGGTTCAACAAATCAACAGGAGCACGGAAAACAGAACATCAGTCTAATCTAGTGTTTAAGGTGAAGTTTTCAAACCCAATCTAAGGAGATCTTTAGAGCAAGCAACAAGCTGAAGGGCCCAGAAGGTGGTATTGACAATGAAAGAGTGTTGAAATATCGAGGAGCGCAGCGCTCGTGCATTTTTAATAACGCGAGGGTCAACAAGGACACAACTCCCTCAGTGCTAGTAGTTGCCACTGACTATGGAAATTGCCACACTAGGGCTATAAACGCTTTCAGTTCATCAGCTTTCTTAAACAGTTCATCAGCTTTCTTAAACACCCTAAACCCCCTCGGCGGACCTTTAGTCTTGAATTAACAAACCAAAGCAATGAAAGAGGGTGTAGTCTGAATGGCTGGCATTGATCCCCAACTGTGTCAGCGCTGCTACAGGCACAGAAAAACTCTCCCCATTGTCAATAGAAATTGACAAACCTCCTCTCCTAAATAGTACAGCTGAGCCAGGCTGGATACATGCAGCTGTAAAGGGCTCCACTCTCAGGGTCCAGAAGCACTAACAATAGAACAAGCATGAGCTCTTTGTCAGTCCCAGACTCTGCAATTTTCTAACAAGGATTAAAGTTGTTTCTCGGCAGTGCTGGTGAAAAGAGATTTAGCAACATACCGTGCTTTCTTCATGCAAGTTAAAGAGAAGTAGTTAAGGAATTTCATTATTCTGTTGACCATTGGGAACACAAAACAAATATATTAAATATTCCCAGTTCCTTTTCCGGACTAATTTATAACATTTTGGAGAAGGCTTCAATTAAATATAACACTTGTCTTCTGAAAACAAGCACTTCAGGCTTATTTTGGAAGTTTTCTTTATTTTATTTTATTTTATTTTATTCTTAAAAGGTGCAGCTGTTTGCCACCTGGAATGAGGACTCAATATATACTAATGTACAAAGCCTTAGACCTTCTGGGGCTGATATTCCTAAATCTGAATCACAAGACCCCATACGGCTTATATATGTTGGCAGTTGCTAGTAAATGGGTTCTGTCAGAATGTTGTTTCTGATGATGATGATAAAAGAAAAATAGCAGCTTGGCTGGGGCACAAATCTGTGTTATATTTTCTGCTTAAGTCTTCAGCTTTTTATTGATTAGGAATTGGTATGACCAAGGCCATGCTTTTCATCTGCTCCAGCTATGCTTGTCTCAATAGGTGAATAACAGAAAAATACGTTTTCCAGAGCTTCGAAAAAACTGAAGGGCTAAATTTCCACACTATTTATGGTAATACATTTCTGCAATTATTCCATTAGATGCAGGTTGTTTCTTGAGACTCATTGAGTTGAGATAAAAGAATAACACCTGGAAAATATCAAATAGGCCTTTTGGTTTCCATTGTATGTGTTTTAAAGGAAAGGATATGGTTGATTATTACTGTTGTTATAAAACAAAGTTTTGATGAGAGTATGTAAGCCATTCAATTCTTTGAGACACCCTAAAAATTTAAATTTTAATAAAATATTAATACTCATGTAATAAATGTTAATGATTCATTTTTAAAAAAGAATTTTTTAAATTAAATTAGAATTAGAATTAAAAAAGAATTCCTTTTTT